TTTGCCTCTGTAGAAAATATTCAATTGCAGTTTGAGTGTTTGATATTGAAAGAAGAAGAAGAATCAGTTATTATTGGAATAATGAGATTTGTGAAAATATTAAATCAATTAATACTAATTATTTTAGAACGTTAGGATTGGAAGAGAAAGAGTAAAAAAAGTACAAAATTGAAAAAGTAATGACAACTTTACGTGTCTGACTGGTAAACAAATTTATTAAAATTATTAAGTTAATTTAAATTAATTAATTGAGGCTTATTTTTAGGCCTTAATATCTTCGATTCTAAAAATATATTTAGGGGCCTAAAGCCCTAACTTTACCAGCTTGACCCAATGGCCGGCTCTGTGTGCCGGCTCATAGAATCCAAAACAGTAGGATGTGCCGATCAGAAAGAGGTATGTGTCAACCTAAGCAAGACAGGGCCTACAAGCTTTAAAAATAAGTTACATGTGCCGCTCTGAAGAGTGTATGTGCTGACACATGTAGTGCATTTTTTAGCAGAAACTGACTTTCGTGGTTTTGAATAATTTTGAAGTGATCTTTAATGATTCCTAAGACCTCTAAATATAAGAGAGCCACACATACACAAAGTTATCATCCAATGTACTGAAATGTGAAATTTCTTTATTTTGACATCATACAAAATGTCTGATGATAAAGATACACTCACAATGATTTTTTTAGAAAAAAGGTAATTTATTTTCTCAATTTTGATTGTTAATGAAAATATCATTTTTGAAGCAAAAATCACAATTTTAAGCCTCAAAAATTAAGTTCTAGAATAAAAATATAAGTCAACTATAAAACATGCTACTAAAATACCACAAATGTTATTTTCCCTTCAAATTAATTACATTATAAAAAGGGTATTGGAGTCAAATGAACAATATAATTACACTATCTATTCAATCAGGTGTTGACATTTAGCAAAACAAAACTACTTTCTTATTTTAAATTTTATTTTTCCTACTTTCACAAATTAAATCATTTCATCCTTCACTATTTCTCCATTAACCACCTCACACACTTCACAATTTTTTTAAAAATTTATTCAAAAATTTAAAATTTAAAATTCCTCCACCTTATAACTTTTATTTTAAATTTTTCTCTCTTTTTTCTTCCTCTTTTTTTTCTAAGCATAAATAAAAAACATTGAACCATTTTTAATATAATGAAGAGGAAAATTAAAAAATATTAAATTTTTAAAACACAAAATTTAGTCTCGAAACATAATTATTATTTTAAGATTATTAAAAAATAATTTATAATTATTAAAAAATAATTTATAGTTATAAAATTAATAAATTGTTTTATCAAATTGTTTAGACAACTAACGAGTTATTATTAATATAATACATATTTTACTTTTAATTAATAATTGTCTTTATTTGAGAGAAAAAATTATTATTTTCATATTTTAATTTTTTCTTTCTCCGTCTCATGAGTTCTTTTTTTCTTTTTATTTGATTATTTAATACAATTGAGTTTATACGATTATTATTTATTTTACAATTAAGTAACTCATTTCAAATTTAAATGTGTATTTAAATACATTTTTTATCTTATAAAATTAGATAATACTCAATAACCGACTAAGTTTATGTCTCATAGATAACTATTAAGACAATACTTATTTTATTTTAATCAACAATTATCTTTATTTGAAAGATAATTTTTTTATTCAAATGTCAAAAAAAAAAATTTCTCCATCTCACAAGTTATTTTATTTATTTATTTTTTGTGATTATTTAATATAATTGAGTTTATATGATCATTATTCATTTTATGATTAAGTAAATTATTCACTTAAGCACTTAAATTGAATAGTAGTGATGTTTTTGCAGGAGTGTAAACATATTTAACCTATAGTGATGTTTCTTGAGTGGATAATTTGGTATTGTTGTTTTTGTTAATTGGAAGTTTATAATTTTTTAAATTTCAGTATCAATGAACTTCATGTTGCAACTAAGCCAAACCTGCCATGCCTACATGAAAACTTGCAGCCACATGTACACAAAACTTGCCATATCAAGAACCACCTGCACCAGTATCACCATCTTTCCAATAAACCAAAATCCAAACATCAATATTAACACACATATATACAGTAAAACCAAATAGTTCATATCCAATATGCAATTCAATTTCATTCAAACATGTCAAATGGTACAAATTCAAATATCCGAGTTTAGTTCACAAACAAAGTCATGACAGTTTGTCTATAATGCAAATCGCAAATCAGTTTCAAGCGGAAATCCAAATTCAAATCACCAAGACCAGTTGCTTGCCAATACATTCAACTCAGTTTTTAAATCCAAATTAAACATTAACCTCCAAGCTAACCATTTTCTTAACAACTTATATTAACTATTAACCTAACAGCTCATGCAACTAACAGTCACTAACTGAAATTAGCTAAACAAACTAACTGATTCACTTAACCTCCATCTATTTTAACTGCGACTTAACAGCACATTTAACAGTCAACAGATTTTCTAACAGAACTAACGAAACTAACTGCAAGAATTAATAGAAAATCAGAACATAAACTGAAGCAAAACCGAGCTAACTTCAACACAATCTAACTCAACCTAACCAACTTGACTCATTGAGTCAACAAACTGAGTTCACGTCAACAGAACGATGAGTAGTCTGAGAGCAACCAACAGAACTCCGTAACAGCATAAGCAATCGATAGGCTCAGAGGCCAAAATTATAGAGCTTCATGTGACCAAGAAATTATAAGAACTACTATTATAACATTCAATTTTCAAACCTTTTTCCGCAAACGGATCTTACGAGCAACCTCTTGATTTTGTGGAATACGCCTTTGTAAATGCATATTCAATTATATCAACAAGAAAATTCAACGATATACAAACATAAAAAGAGTAACGATTAGATCTACAACATCCAAAGTTCGAAAGCACCGAATACAGATCATTCATGCTCTAACCTGTTCAAATACTATTTAACCAAATTGACATGGCTTATTGATTGAGCAATCAACATAAATTAAAATTCAAATCTTGTTTAGTGTAGAATCAATTGGATGAACTAATAGTATTTTTTCTGCTAAATGTCTCAGGTGTAGAAGCACCAATGTAAAATCAACTTGAGGGGCTAAGAATATCTATTACATTCAACTCACAAGCACTTGAAAATGTACTGCAGAGGACACAAATATAAAAACATTTTGGCACAAACCTGTACAGTTATATCAAAATTAGAAATTATGGGTTGCATCATAGCTGAACTTTCCAAGGTTGCCACTTCATCAACCTATTTGTCTTGAGGATTGCTAATAGAATCTAAGCATAATCATGCGGGTACTATAGTTCTACCTGTTAAACTTGAAATTAAACAATGATAGCTAAAGCTTCTAGTTAGTATTGTAGTTTTGTGAAAGGAATGACAACTAAAGATTCTACCTAGTTTTGATGAAGAAATGACAATATCTCCAATGTAATCTTTCATTTGGCTGTAAAATGATCAAAACAAAAAGTATAGAAAATCATATACCAGGTATTTAGAAAAGTTATCAAAATGAGTTGTAAAATAAAATTGATTCATGCTGCACACATTAGCAATATTGAAGTAAATATTGAACATTAGTTGTAAAAATGAGTTCACTCAATAGAAGTAAATATAATATATCCAGCACACATTAAATCTAATTGATGGCAGGCCTCAATTAGCAATATTGAACAGTATGTTAAAATTAAAAAGTTTTATGTATCATATCTTTAACCTACATCATGCTTCTTGAAAGGATCTACCACAAATTTTGGAAACCGAGATGCCCTGAGACCCGATAGAGCCTACAAAAACGATGCTACTCCCAATTCTTCGACCGCTGCAAAAACCAACAACCACTGCACCAATTCAAACTTTACGACACGAATCAACCTTGTTGAAGCCGTCATAGGAATTACTTAATAGAGTCAACATTATGCTCACGATGTATCGCAATAATGTCTTCATTGGTCATTATTGTCATATGTTGGAACAATTCTACAATATTTGCACCCATGTAAGAATCAGGCCCATAATATATGCTCAAATAAACATATTAGTTTTTAAGAAAGAAGCACCACTTTGGCTCCATGATGATCCTGCAAAATGAACATAATACACACACATTTACAAACAATGTAACAAACCAGTAAGCCCCTGTTGTGGACAACACTCCACAAACCGTATGCAAGCCGAGCATAAAATACACTCCACTGCAAGCTGAATTACACACACACAAATGCTATCATAAATCTTGGAATTAACTAACCAAAGCTTTAGGAAAAAATGAAGGCCGAAACGAACCAGGGCGGTCGAGCATTTGCGATTCTTTGCTTGATTCGGTCATTGGACACGTACAAACGAAAGACTTATCCAAGGCACATGTGCACTAAACTGTGGCCTCTGGCTAGTGCTAATGTATCACAATATAGTGATTATGATATGCATAGTTGTTACCTTCAATCTATATTAACCTGATACAAAATTCCTGATTCAGATAGAGCAAGAAATTTATGAGAATAGTTAGTAAAATCGAGAATAAACAATGTTAGCGTCGGAAGTGGGCAACCTCACCATTCTGAACAGGTACAATATCACCAATTGTTTTATCTGATACAACCTTGACGTAAAGAGGAAGTACACTTGAATTAAAAATCTAAGAATAGTATAAAGCAAGGGTAGAATAGTTAGTATAGTTAGAAAACATTAGGCAGAAGTTGAAGGAAGAATGGTTGCATCACAATGGTCCGGTTCCATTTTTAGTGTGGGGCACCAAAAAAACAACTTTTTAATCAAATAGCGATACGTGGATTTCAATCAAGCAAGGGTAGTTGTGTCTTATCGAGAACGATCAAAGTTCAAGCAAGGGTAGTTGTGTCTTATCGAGAACGATCAAAGTTCAAGCAAGGGTAGTTGTGTCTTATCGAGAAGCATCAAAGTAGATAGGGAAACCTTGATATTCATATTCACTCACTCGTACCCCATGTCAATAATGTGGACTACTTCAACCATCAATCATGCAATATCAATCAGAAGAACCAAGAATATCAACGCTTTCTCTCCCTTTCGAATACTCAATTTCTCCGATTCAAATCCAAATAACCGTTCTGTTGCTGCTGGTGGTGGCTTCGGAGATAAAACCAACAACAAACCTAACAAAAAGGCTTCTCCGTCGCAGCAAAACCTAAGGGACTCATCAACTAAACAATCTCGTAAGTTCAATTTTCATCAACTATAAACACAAATTCCAATTCTAGAGCCACCGCAATCGTTTTTTCTTTGCAGAGGCACCGCGTTTAACTTCAAAGGTCGATGGTAAATCCGAAATCGACTTCGAGGGACGGTTGAAGGCAGTTAGAAGGTACATTTTGTCCGTTTGCCTTCTATTTATGTGTAATTGGTGATAATTGTTGTCTTTGTATTCAATTCAGGTCAGCACTAGAGCAAAAGAAGGCGGAAAAGAAGAAAGAATTTGGAGCAATTGACTATGACGCACCAATTTCTTCAGACAATAAGACTATTGGCTTTGGTACCAAGGTACATACAAGCCTTCTTTTCTATAACATGGGAGATTTATCTGTCTAGTAGATATAACTATCATGATACAGGTTGGAATAAGTGTAGCTCTTGCTGTCTTTGCTCTGGTTTTTGCTTTAGGAGATTTTCTTCCAACTCCAAGGTAAGCACACCAATGTGTCTTTGTCAACTAGGAAATCGTGATACAACTTTTTTTTTTCTTACCCTAAGTCAAAACTTACTATAGCTAGTCTTTTCCATGCTTACAACAACAAGCTTTGATACCATTACCAAATGATCAGTATCCAACTATTCGGCAAACCTTCCCTTTAAATTAGCTATATCAAGGGGGACTTGGCAAACCTTCCCTTTAAATTAGCTATATCAAGGGGGGAGAATAAAGCCATTTAAATAAATAATCAATCCAAACTTAGGCACCCCACAGTACCGACTTATGAACTACTCTTTGACACAAAAAGATTTCTAAAGTTAAATATTCAAAAGTTGTTTTGAATTTAATTGCCTTCTCAAGTGTGGTAAAAGGACTTTACAATTGAAAGCATTGTATGTACTATTAACAAAGTCAGGTTTCTTTTTCTGTTGGTTGGGATTTGGATTGCTTTATATCTCATATTTTGTTGTTTCAAGGGACTCTCTTGCTGTTTTAAAGTAACAAGACATTTAGAAAAGGGCGTCACGGCATTGCCATATGTACTAAACCGTTTGTAAGGACAATTAGCTTGCAACTACAAACAGAACACGAAATCAGTGATTATGCATGTGTGTATACGTGCACGTCAGTCTTTTGAATTTTAAACGATGTTATACTATATGCAGCTAATAAATATGAATGCATTCTCTCATCGTGTTCATTTAATTGCTCTTTAATTTGTGTATGGTTGAAATTGTGATATTTTTTACGTTTTAGTCCCAACGAAGACAGTGCTTTGGTCAATGATAAATTGTCAGAGAAGGATAAAGCTGCTCTTCAGGTGTGATTTCCCCCTGATATTTTCTTTTATTTATGGCAATCAGTCAGGCACTAATGTTCTTCCTAAGTATTTTCCTATCTGTTTCTTTCCTTATGAAATAAATGTTAACTGAATCACGATTGTTCTTTTCATGGACTGGTGGCAAGATGGGATGTCTGGTAGATAATTATTTGTTCTTTTTCTGTGTTGTAAATTTTGTTTTAATCATTATTAATAGATACCTTGGATATGATAGAAGGGTATTTTTTCGTACCGGAGATATTTATGTGAAGCTTTTAACGTGTATAGACACACTTCTAAAATATGAAGATGTAATATGTAGGAAGGAAAGGGGGTAGTATAAAATAGTCTGCAGGAACTTCTGCTTTAGACACTCACATTGAGAAGAAATTTGATTACTTGTTTTAATCCTCCGTTCCTTTACTGAAATATGGCAGATTAGGCTTAAGGAATTTGAAGCGACATTAAGTAACTCCCCAAGAGATCCAACAGCTCTCGAAGTAAGTAGTGGGTGATAGTTCTGTTCTGCTAATTTTTGTGTCTCTAGATACATTTAAAAGGGTTTTCAGGGTGCTGCAGTAACATTGGCAGAACTAGGGGAATATTCAAAAGCTGCTTCTCTACTCGATGATTTGACGAAGGTTAGTATTATTTTTTACCTTGGATATTTTTTCGAAGATGCCTATTATGTGTTGAGAAGTATCACCATGGGAACTATTCCCTATATAGGACTTGTACTTTACTGTTAATAACGAGGCCATGATTTGTATTATTTTTTATTCGATGAAACATGATTTTTATATTTTCTGATTTATTTAGGATTTTTTTCTTTACATGTTTAGGTTCCTGTAATTAGAAATTGTAATGTTATCACATTATACGTTTAATCTTCTGAGGATTTCCTAAAGCAATTCCAATTAAAATCGTCTCTTTCAAATACATTTTGCACAAATCATGGTGCGTAATCATAAAATAGTTGTTGAACTGAGTTTTTTGTGTTTCAAGGAAAAACCAAATGATGCTGATGCTTTTCGTTTGCTTGGAGAAGTTAAGTATGAACTTAAAGATTATGATGGGAGTGTTGCTGCATACAGAAGTTCAGCAAAGGTCAGTCTTTTGAAAGACTTCAAACACTTTATTGGTGGATGTTTTAAATGACTTTCAAAACTAAGTTTTTTTGTTCATTCTGCAATTTAGCTTGGAAAAGTAGGACCCTGACAACATCTATTAGCATTTTGTAAATGAGTACATCCATGTGAACTAGAGTTTAAAATTTTAAGGCACTAGAGGCTATATTACAAAATCTTAGTGATGAATTATTTTAGGTTTAGTAGTTTCATCGAATGTTATCCATGTATATCTGGATGATCTCTGACAGGTATCCGAAGATATCAATTTTGAAGTTCTGCGGGACCTTACCAATTCATTACTTGCTGCTAAGAAGCCAGACGAGGTTTGTCGTCTTGATAATCGATTCTTCATATGAATGTTTTGCACACATAAATTTGTAATTTGTTTATTAACTTAGTCTTTAATATATAGTTCTGTGATTTCATAATATGGCCATTCTGGTTCTCAATGCTCATATTTTACGGAAATATAGGGTTTATCTTTTGCTCACCCGGTGGTTCTAGTGAATGTTTTCAAATCTTTCTTCTACAGGCTGTTCAATTACTTTTGGATTGTCGTGACCGTCTGAGCTCAGAAGACTTGAGCAACAAAGCTGATAGCAGCCCAAATGACTCACAGAAGCTGGATCCAATTCAAGTAAACTTTCACTATCTAGAAAATGGTTAATGAGATATTCTTCTCTTTGTAAATTCTTGGTATAGGTATATACAATACTAAAGGATCAAAGAATTTTGAAGTAAGAATATTCCTTTAGTACAAAGACCAGAAAAGATTTATCTCACAACGACCATAACTTAATCGTGACAGGATGCTTTCAGTATAAAGTCTTCAAACCTTCTTTTGTTTTTTGCTCTATTCCATTTATATTTATTAATAAAACTATCAGTTAGCTCTTGATTCTCTATCCTATGTTATTCAATTCTATCATTTCTAGAAATTAAGAAACCACAATTCCCTTCTTCTGTTTTCACTATTTCCATTTCATTGGTACCATGTTACAGTTATAGGGTTAATGGAAGAAGGACCCGTTAAGTACTATTATTGATGGACACAACAATATAATAACATGTTAGTACTTTTATTACAAACTCAACATCACTAAAAATAAGACTAATAAGTAATAACCTTATGATTTAACAATCAGGAAAAGTTTAGTTAGCTTCCATCTGAAATTTTTGTTTTGCTTGGGAGATTTTCATTGACCTCGCATTCTCAATGTACATTCTATACCCTTAATTTTCGTAGTTCTTCCTTTTAAAGGAAACATTTTGTCTATATTTTACATTGGTTTCTTTAATAATTTTTCTTTTTTCTTACTTTGATACTCAGGTTGAATTACTTCTTGGGAAAGCCTATTCAGACTGGGGCCATGTTGGGGATGCTATAGCTGTTTACGATCAGCTCATATCTACTCATCCCGATGACTTCCGTGGATACTTAGCTAAGGCCTGTATTTTCTCTCATTTAATCACTAACCATGGTGTTCTCATTCCATTTTGTGTTTGGTGTACAATTCAATTATTTCCTTTCGGTGTGGCCATGAACTGTAAAGTAACACTAATTTCACAAAATTGAGGTGAAAAGATTTTCAAAAACATCGTTCTAGTAGTATAAAACATGGAGCCGGGATCCAAAATGGAGGGGATCCGAACTCTAAAACATGCTGCATTCTAAAACATTTCCGCAGCACTTACTAAATACTCGATGGTATGATACTAATAATTAACTTTTGCAGGGAATCATCCTAAAAGAAAACAAAAACATTGGAGATGCAGAGAGGATGTTTATACAAGTAAGTTTATGGATTGAATTAGCGCAACCGACCGAGTAAATAGCAAAATGTTAAAATAACACATATATACTGTAGAACTTTATATTTCTGCTTATAAGTGAGATTGATGGTCATGGAAACTTTTTGATTTATCTTGTTCAGGCTAGGTTCTTTGCATCTGATAAAGCTAAAGCACTTGTGGACCGTTATTCAAGATAACAGTTTATATTGATACTGATTACATCATGGTATGCTTTGTATAATAGAAACTTCAGATCTTTAATTATGTAATATGAAAATTAAAAAGAGCTTCTATCCATATTGCAAATGCAGATTCAAGGGAAAGTAAGTTCAATATTTCCCTAAGTTTTAAGCAGAAGTTATGGCCATTAGATAGTGTTGCAAATTCCGTGTTCTTTATGTAATCAGTCCAACAAACTTCCATTTAAAATATATTTTTGCTTAAATTCATTTCAACTTATACAAAAATTACTTAAGCAAAAAAATATATTTCTTTTTAATTACCATAAAATTTATATAGTAAAAGAAAGCAAACTTATTATTCTGCCAAGTTTGAGAATTGTTGGCAAATGAAATTGGTTATTAATTTTATGTTTTCCACTAATGCAAATATTTCCTTAAGTTATTTATTAAATATATTGTAATTATTTTAATAATTAATACTGAATTTATTTTATAAAAAATGAAGGGTTTTGGTATAATAACCAATTGTTTCATAGCATTAATATTTTGAAATTTTATATATAATAAGCCTTCCACATAACTAATAAACAAATAATAATTGTTCCTTCCACAATTAATTTTTCAAAGGACTGATAATTTTTTTCAAGCCATAGTTATAGCTAATCCTTATAATAATTTTAGAAAAAAAGAATGAAAAAATGTATTAAAATTTAAAACCCAATATTTGTTTTAGATGAAGATGTGTAAGAGAGAATTAGGGGCAAGAGAATTTGTAGAGAGATGAACAACTTCTTGTTTGGAACAAGAAGAAATAGGTGCGAGAGATATAAGAACATCCCATATTATTGCTGACCGTGATCCTAACTTCATTTTTAGCTTAAGGACCATTCAGACGATGGCAGATATATTGAGAGCTTATATTTTAGAGGATGAGGGAAGTTGGAACAAACACGTACCGTTAATTGAATTTGCAACAATAGCTATCACATTAGTATTTGGATGACACCGTATGAGGTGTTATACAGGAGGACCATTATCTTACGATTTACCCTTAAATTTATGAGACTTCTTAGATTTCGGGTTTAGGTCGGTTTAGAATCTGTGTATAATCATTAATATTGATTAGTAACCAATTAGTCATAAGTGTATATTATAACATTACCTATTTATGTATATCTCTTTTACATATAAATATATGTCAAGTGTGATTATATTCTACACACAAAAATATAATTATAATGTGAAATATGCGGTTTGCAAGATTAGGCACCGTTTGGTGGCTCAGCAGATGTAGAAAAGCCTCTAATACCCTTTCGGAGCATGTTTTCTTTTACTGGTATTTCATTTCCAAGTTTTTATATTTATCAATTTCATCAAGTTGCTTCCGATAGCTCGTGAGAGAGTGATAATACTCTCTCCTTGTCGTTAGTCATTTAGGATAGGCTCTGATACCATCTTAGAATTTGGGTTGAGCCTAATTCATTATTACAAAACCGGTTTGTAAGGTAAAGATTGTCCCCACTTATAAACACATATTTAAGTTATATTTTATCTGATATGAGACTTTTAACAACAAATTTATCTAAATGAGTGATTCGAATATTTAAAAGTTACATGTAATTTCAGAATAGTCTCATTTTTTTCTTCGAGTAATTTAATTACTAGAATTTCACTTGCCTTGGTGCAATTATCTTACGGTGTCACAATAATCTTTCAAAGAACATAAATAATTTAAATTTCTCCATGTTTTATTTTTGTTAGTTATTTTGGTCCCTAGTATCAACTAAGATTGTGAGGTACATAATGTCTTAAAAAACACAGGCTAATAATAAAAAACTAATTAACTAATGGTTGTTCTCATTCCTCAAAAATATATGCAACCAATCCTAATTATATATAAACTAAATTCTAGTTGTGCATTCAAAATTTCAACCTTCATTCGCTCTAATAACAAATTAACAGATTGTGTTCCATCGAAAAAGATGTCAGGAGGAAAAGTTTAAACTTTTTCTCATAAACTTTTTCCTCTTGGATGTCATCGTTAGGTTCATAAATAAATTGAAAATGAAAGTTGGTGGGATTTCCATATCCACCCCAAAGGTATCAATGCCTATGAATCTCCATTGTAGAACAGCTGCATATTATCCATTCCGACGATCAAAATTAACAACGACTCACAAGGTTCCGAAAGGCTACCTTGCCGTGAACGTTGGACCGGAATTCAGAAGGTTTGTGATTCCAATAAAGTTTTTGAGCATGCCTGAGTTGAAGGATTTGATGGATAATGTTGCTGAGGAATTTGGTTGTGATTATCATGCTGATGGTGCTCTTCATATTCCATGTGATGAAGATTATTTTAGCAATGTTTTGATTAATTGTTATGCAACAACACAACGAAGCGTATCTTCTAAGAAAAATCATATCAAACTAGGTTCTAAGATTCCCATAATTTACAGTCATTAATTATTTCATATGGCTGTATTTATTATTATATATAATCTCAATTATTATAAGGGAAATTAACATGCAATGCAATTTCTTTATATCATCAGATTAGGACTTCCATTTTTATTTAGATAGTAATCAGATTTTTAATTAATTTTGTTAATTAATGCATATTGTCCATTTGTTGGAAGCTGATTAAGTTGCTTAAAGAATTATTTTTCCAAAAACATTAAAAAAATATACATCACATGTACATATTTTTACATAATATAAGATATATTAAAACAAGTTGTGGAAGGGAACAAAGAGAATATTTCGGATCAAGAGTGGCACAACCACATTTCTATCTCTTGCATTTGAGAGATTAGTTTGTGTAGTAACACCCGTTGTAACAAAAGATACTCGGTTTATACACGCAGAAAAGCAACTTGAAAAAAACTTATATATAAATAGATAAATAAAAAAAGACAACAGTTAAGAATGATTGATTAATATGTTGATCATCTACAAACTTGAGCATGATGAGTGGGAGTAACATCACAACTAACCATGTCTTTGTCTCCATTGAATTCAAACTCATGCAAGTTTAAGTCTTCATTTTTATCTTCCACCACCTTCAATATCTTCTCAAACATTGAAACTTGACATGGAATTTTGAGTACACCCTCTTGTTGAAAGCCAAACTCCTCTTCAGCTTCTTGAAGCAAAACCTCAAATGCTTGGTGTTTTAAGTAATTCATTGGAATAATGAATCTCTTGAGCTCTTTCCCTACACAAACAGCTAGAAAACCTTTTGGAACTATGTCCACATTCGAAATCGAAACATCGTTGAACGATAAAGTTCGTTTCAAAAACTTGATACTTTTACTACCGCTACTACTACCACTAATACTTGAGTTACTCGAGTTCGAGTTGTTGTTAGTGGAAGCATTTGTAGCAACTTTTTTCCACTTCTTCAGGATTTGTTGAAGCTTAACAATCTCTCTTATTTTGTTAGACTTCTTTGAATCCATGAAGGCAAATTGAACCACTTTTTGATATTGTTTCTTTTCTTGTTTGTATGTTTATATTTTGAGGGATGAAATGGTGTGGGGTACTACTATATATTAATCTCATGTGATTGTGAATGATAGCATAATCATTTATAAGCTGAACATGCACAACTTGCTCATTGCTACAATTTTATTTACCCCTTATTTTATTCCTACATGCATTTTATATTTATGTATGTATCATGCAAGTGATTAATTACTAATTTCGTCCACAGATTAGTAAGATTCAATTTGCAACCAAATTAGTTAGGATAAAAACCTTATATTCACTACTAGGGAAAAGAAATTTAATAACGGTTGAAAAAAATATATAATTACGCGGGATCAAACGTTGTTATCTAGTGTGTGGTTGTATATATGATACTTACAATCACAGTCCAGTGACCGTCGTAGTAAATTGAAAAGTGCACGCCTTATAACAACTTTGATTCCTATTAACCGTTGTAATATTGTATTTGAATAAATGTCAAATTTTCATACTAGAATCAACACTAAATCAATTTTGAATTGATATCAAAACTTGTATTACAAGTACACAATTCCATTAAGTACATCAAATTTGAACAGCTCGAGGTATGTAATCTTCCCAACTTCCAAGAGAAAAGATAGAATATAGAATTAAAGAAACAATGATGAGTTTGGTTTTTAAACTTCCAAGAGAAGAAGATGAAGAATCAGAAGGAACAATATAAAAGCGGAAGAACCAAAACATAAAAACAACTCCATCAAAAGGAATCAACATGTGTTATCCTGCTTAAGCTACTAACAATGTTAAGAATCAAAATGTGACTGTAGAGGATGTTATGGTACGAAACCAACCTCAGAATCAAGATGTAACTGTAGAGGGTTTTTTGATACAAAATCATCCTCATATTCAAGATGTTGCTGTAGAGGGTGTTGTGTTTAGACTAATGAGAGTTCTCTAGGTGATGAGAAGAAGAAGAAGATGATGAGGATGACTATGATTGGTCTAACTTTATCTCAACGAGAGAATTTATATTTGATATGGTTTTTGATCATGTAATGAAAGGTAATGAAGTTTTAATCTGCTTAACTCTCTTAAGGTTATTAACCTACACATTCAACTTAAATATCAACTTAAACTACAAAATATATAAAACACATAATTGTAATTGAAAATTCAACAGTTTGCGATGAACTTACTCGTAAGAAACCGTCTGTTAGTTGCATATTCCTGTCAAGTTCACTACATCTTCAACTATTACATTTCATAACAAAGTAAATATTAAACATAAAGGATATAAGAAAACATAACATTTTTAAATTTCAAATCCTAATTCAACTATTGCATTTTATAAAAAAAGTAAATATTAAACATAAAGGAGATAAGAAAACATAACATCTTTAAATTTCTAGAAAATCTCTCTGACTTCAGTTTGTTTTTCATGTTGGGGAGTCCAGGAGAGTCGGGAGCACCAATGAGATCAATGCTCCAAGACTACAAGAGAGGGAGACACCACATCTCAACCGAAAATCCTAAGGTGTTAGGTAAATGAATCTTCTTTCTTATAAATCCAACATTTTACTCATTCATAAGCAATGTGAGAGTAACACTTGCACCCTCTACCACAAGTGTGAGTCTCCACATCCTATAACATAATCTAACACCGAATCTAGCTCCCGCTCCCCCACCAAGCCGAACCACGACTCTGATAGTACTGTTGGGGAGTCCGGGAGAGTTGGGAGCACCAATAGAAATAATGCTCCAGGCCACAAGAGAGGGAGACGTCACATCTCAATCCAAAACCTTAAGGTGTTAGGTAAATGGGTCCTCTTTCTTATAACTCCAACATTCCACTCATTCATAGGCAATGTGGAACTAACAATTGCACCCAACACTTCAAATTCTTGTTCTTATTTTTTGTATTTGTATACATAACCTTCAAATGTCCAACAGATTCCAACTCTGGCATCATATTACTCTTATCATCCAATTTTTGTTTATCACCCCATATTAACAAATTACATTTTTCACCTCCTCCACCAATTTGGACATCTCCAAAAAAACCTTCCTTTATTTTGATCCCTCTTACATTGGTACGAAACCATAGGACTCTCATAACTACATAAATTTTTAAATCGAGATTTTACACCTTTGAATGAGTTGCTTTTCAAATGTGACATTTAGACGAAATTGGACAACAACAATGAGTGTGGTGTTAGGATTGTTTTCTTCTTCATGACTATGTCGATGACATTGGTGTTAGGGTTGTTTCTTTTATCAGTGGAAGAATGGCTACTTAGTGTTTAATATATATATATATATATATATATATATATATATATATATATATATATATATATATATATATATATATATATATATATATATATATATATATATATATATATATATATATATATATATATATATATATATATATATTAAACACTAAGTAAAAGGGACAAACTATTTGGGGGAGTTGATGATCGAACCTAATAAAGATGGATTGTATCACCACAGTTAGGGAATTAACCGTAATTATAACCTTAAAATTTTCAATTAAAAAATAAAAAAAATATCAGCGCATTAGTTTAGTAGTGTCACTACGGTTTTGGGACGAACCATGGTGACTTTGGCGTTGTAGTATGCGAATTTTGTAGTAGTGATTATCAAATTATAATTATTAGATTATTTAAAATATCATATTACTTTAAAGATCACATATAAAATAACTTACATTCTTCGAATGAGAATTCGGCGGTTGAGAAAGAGATCGTTGATAATAGAAGGAAGCAAAATGATCCTAATGATTCGAATGAGAATTTTGTGATTGAGAACGAGATTGTTGATAATAAAGGAAGCAATGTGATCCTAATATTATGATTATAGAAAATAGTGGTAAGAAATTTGGTGAGAGATCTATTGTCTATGTGATAATTTGCATTTGGAGAGAACAATCATACTGAGTCATGAAAAAAAGATAAAGGAAGGCATGAACTTACTCAACCTAAAATGAAAATTAATGCTTAAGCCATGTCATGTAAACACAACATCACTCAATGGAATCCATTTATTGGAATATTAGAGAAGTAGGAAACTTTAATACTAAGTTGGCTATTAAAAATCTTTGTGATCAACAAAATCTGACTTGTTTTTTTTTGGCAAAATACCCTTTTTGGTCCTTTAAGTTTACCCCAAGGTCCATTTTGGTCCTTTATCTAAAAAAAGTGTCAAACTGGTCCTATAATTATTTCAAAAGGACCATAGGAGTCCTTTCCGTCCAAAAGGCACAAACGGACGTTTGGTTTGCATGCGTGGCAGGTGACATGGAATTTTATGTACACCATCTTCAAGCTGCTTCCAGAAATCCTCAAATTCTAGGGTTCACACATTGCATCTCAATTTTCCCATTTTGAATTTGAAATTCCCTCAATATGATGAAGGAAGCATCATCAGAGATCCGGTCTTCGTACGATTGCAATAGAGATGGAAGCTTAGATGGAAAGTTGCGATGGAGACCTATATGTGGTTGTGGAGAATCTGCGGTTCTTCGAAGGGATACCATTGTCACAAACTTTGGGAAGCAATTCTGGGGTTTTCGTCATTACAAGGTAAGCATTAAATTAAAATGGGTTTTCATATATTCTTGTTCTGATAGTTCCTGCAATAGTTGAGATGAATCTGGATGTCACCATTACAGGGTTCATCTGAATCTGGGTGTGGATACTTTCAATGGTTCTTTGATGATGTGGTGGATGAGAAGGATCAGTTTATAAAGAAGCAGAATAATAGGTTGGAGAAGCTGCAAAATGAGCTTGATGGAGCAAAGATGGAGATACATCATCTAAAGGAAAGGAAGGATGGGCTGAAACATAAGATAATGGAGTTACAAATTGAAATGAAGAAGATGATGAATTCTCAGAAAAAATGGAAAAGATTCTTCTTTATTATGTTAGTTGTGGTAATTTGGTGTTGTAATAGACTGTTGAATTGAGATTATATGTAATAGAGTATCATATGTAACACAGTCTCAATTTGAACATGGTATCATTATGAATTTGAATTTTTGTATCAACTTGAATTTTTGAACTAGTAGCATTTTGATCAATGTAACATACTGTAAAACATACTGTAGCAATTTTTGTATCAATGTAGCATTTTGATCAATGTAACATACTGTAAAACTAGTAGCATTTTTGTATCAATGTAAAACATAATGTAACATACTGTAACTAGTAGCATTTTGATCAATGTAACATACTGTAGCAATTGAAGATAGGTAACAACATATAATTATAAGGTGGTGGATACCACTAAGTTGCATACAAAAGAACCTGATATTATAGGTCCAATCAAAACAGCCTGATATTACAGGTCAAAACAAAACAAAACAACTTGATATTACATGATCAAAACAACTTAACATAACCAATTCTAATATTACAAGTTAACAAAACAACATAACAACTATAGGTCCAATCCTAATCCAAAACAGACATAAAAGTAAACTAAAGTTTCCACTTTGGTGCTGCTCTTTTAGTTGGTGTTGTCCTTCTTGTTGTTGGACCTACAACAGTTCTTGATGCCTTTAACCTCGTTGTTGGACCTGGTGGGACAAATGGTGCATTTGGCCTTCTAACTGACAACTTTTTGGATAATTTAGATTGAGATGGCTGAGAAGCTTGACCAGGAACTGACTTAGATGCTTGAGATGCCACTGGTACAGATGCCACTGGTACAGATGCTTGAGATGGTTGAGAAGGCACTGGTACTTGTGGTACATATGGTGCTTGTGGTACAGATGGTTGAGCTGCATGTGGTACTTGTGTAGTAGTTGTCTGACTAGTAGAAGGCACCTTACAAGTAAGCTTGTTGTGACCTACCTACTTACACCTGCTACACTTTATAATGAATCCCGTTCTTCTCATCTTTTTATCAGTACCATCTAGCTCACCTTGCTATAAATTCCTCCTTTTCTTTGGCCTTCCAGGCATTT